GGCTCCGTCTCTCTCCTCCAGCATCCTTCGAGTATGGCTTTTGTCCTCATGCTTCCAGAATAGCTGCTGCCCCTCCAGGCATTGTGCTGACATCCATGGCAGGAATAGGGGAGTTAGGACAAAGTGCAGAAGGGCAGATACTTGTGGAATCTGTCCCTTCTTAATCAGGATAACTGGAGATTTCCCAGAAGCCCCTTCATAGTGCATTGGCCAGAATCATAAATAGTAGTTCTCTCTCTGCTTTCCTTTTCCTTTAAACCTCTTCCAGGGCCTCGGCCCTTAGCAGGACCTGTCACTTTTGTTGTTTGGTTGTTATTGTTTTCATTTGATCAAGTAAAAATCCCCGATCTGGGGGAAATGCCCCGGTGAGGTCATTTTTACTGTGGTATTAATGGCAGGTGTGCTGCTCTAGCACCAACTTTGTAGGGACCTGGATCTACGAGGTGCTTTCCAAGGGCACAGTTAACAGTTGGGAGGAGGGAGGTGCTGGTATTCAGCTGGAGGGCACTGGCATGGGTCTGCATCCTTTTACAGCCAGTGCCTTCTCTGACTGTGGCGCCATCACCGGGAGCCTCGTGCCTGGGGGCTCACCTGGGGGCCTTCTGCCTGCGGAGCCTGCGGCAGCTCGATGGAGCAGGACAGGGCATGACTAGGCCCCTGGGTACAACCTGTGACCTCTGATTGCTTGGCTGCAGCAGCCTCCTTGATGGGGCCCGTTCTCCCTGAGCCCAGGCCTGCAGGCTGTCCTTGCCAGGCTGATCCTCTGAGGCCAAGGCCTGGCTCCCCTCCGCAGGGCAGGGGTGCAGGGGAGGCACCCCGAGGCTGCATGTGTAGGCGCCACAGCCCCTGGTGAGCAGGCAGGGTGGCAGAGGAAGGAGAAGGGAGCAAGTACTGGGTGTTTTCTCATGTTTTCCAGGCCATTAACCTTGGCCCTGCAGGTCCCAGCTCCAAATGTCAACAGTGGGCGAGATGGTGAGAGCAGCCAGGAGAGAATTACAGGCTGGTGGCCTGGCAGGAAGCTTGACTCTTGGCCTGGGTGAGTTGCAGAGGATCCCCAGGAGCCCCCTGGGGAAGAGAGCACGCGCCTCCCAAGCAGCCTCAGGTAGGCCCCCGTCCTGGTTCGGTTGCTGGCCTGCTGTGTGTGCCGTGACAGGCCACTGCCCTCTTGGACCTGCCAGGGGCTGATGGACACCTCTTTGCCACCTTCCTCTCCAGACTGGGGCTGGGGGCGGCTCAGCTGTGTTACAAGCTGAGAAGGGGCTTAGCTAATGATGGGAATAATCCGGTGCAACAATCCCATCAAAATAGCTCCACTGCTGAGTCCTTAGTACAAGCCGAGCCAGCCCTCCCAAGCACTTCAAGTTAATGGAAAGGATGAGGCTCCCCTACTCCTTGTTTGGATATGAAACGGCTGGTGGAATCGTGGTGGGTTTTATTTTTACCTCCAGGCATGCAGGTGAAGAGGGAAGTCCCAGTGATGTTCTGGCTTAGCAAAGAAGCTCACCAGTAACCCTGCCTTTGAGGAAAGCGCGAAGCCCGGGAAGTCCGCTGAAATGTGAATAGGCCGTGGCTGGGGATTATGAAGCAGGACAAGAAGCTGAAAGTACAGAGGTTTTCCGGACAAAAGGTGACTTTGCAGGACATGGGAATCCTGGCAGGTCTCCTTGTCAGTCAGAGGTGACACTCAGGAGGACGGCTTCGCCAGCAGGTACTTCCCCGCCGGGCCGCCACTGCAGGGATGTGGAGCGGCTCCTTCTGCTCTGGACCCTGGGAGGTCTCAAGTTGGCAGGCTTTCCACCAGTTTACAGAGGCTCTAGAAGGAAGTCTGGAGAAGCCCAAACTTGTCCTTTGTCACGGAAAAGGGCAGAAGGGGAGTAAGGGACACAGGGGCTGCCACCCACATGGCAGTTCCTTAGGTCATCCTCACAATGAGAAGGGTGTCATCATGGTCTGATACGTGGCAGGAGGGAAGCGGAGGCTGAGAAGTCCACGACTCGCCCAAGGTCTGCAGGAGGGGGCCGGAGGCTGCACGCGTGAGGATGGGGACTGTGGCTTCTGCGGGGTGTCAGGGAGAGCCAGCGTCCAGGGCGGGGCAGTATGCCTTTCCTGTCGCTGCTGTAACAAATGACCGGAAGCTCGGTGGCCTGAACAACACAATTTGATGACCTGACTGACTGTTCCGGAGGATAGAAGTCAGAGTTGGCTCTCACTGGGCTAACACCAGTGAGAGGCAGGCATCAGGTGTCAGTGGGGTGCCTTTTGGATGGGGGGGGGCGGTTGGAAATCTGTTCCCTTTTCCACCTTCTAGAAGCTGCCTGCGTTCTTGGCTGTCTCCTTCTTCAGAGCCAGCAGGTTAGCATCTTCCAAGCTCTATCTGACTCTAGTATTCCTGCCTCCCTCTTTCACTTATGATTACATTTTCTGATGATGATTATGATTAGGTTTCGATGATTCCCTTTGGATTATATTTGGCCCTGGATATTCCTGCACGTTCCAAGATAATCTTCCCGTCTCAAGAGTCTTAATCACACCTGCAAAGTCCCTTTACCATGTAAGGTAACACAGATTCGCAAGTTCCAGGAATGAGGATGTGGGTCTCTTTCTTCTGCTGACCTCTGTGACCTTGGCCAAGGGGTCTGACACTTGGGATAACAAGCATCCCTTCCTCAGGAGGCTTGGAGGGGATCCAAATAAAGAGGAATGGGCTTCCACCCCATAGGGAGTGACTGAGCCTCCCCCTCCCATCCAGGGCCCCCCTGCATGTGCTGGAGGCAGGCTACTCAGCCTGGAACTAATGATCAATTAGAATTCTGGTGCTTCTGGGAGGGAGACGGTGGTCAGGACCCAGGATCAGATAGATCAGGACTCAAGTCCAGACTGTGCCTCCTCCCAGAGGCCCGAGGGTGGGGGTGGGGGTAGGCATGGGGAGCAGACTGGTCTGGAAAGGAGGAAACAAACAGACCTCATTTCATCCTCACCAAGGTGGAGCTTCTGCCTTAATTTTGCAGATATAGAGACAACAGCTCAGAGAGATCAAGCACCTTGTCTGAGACCACACAGCTCCTGGGAGCTTTCCCACGGACCAGAATTCCCAAACCAGTGACACCCACGCTGCTCCCTAGCTGTTTGCCCCATCTGCCTGCCTCCTGGCCTGTGGCTGGCTTGATATTTTTCTTTAAACCAACTTGCTGCTTTTTTATTTAAATGTATCTGTTTCAAAAAGAGGCTTTATATTACTCTCATAAATGGAAAATCACAAAATTCATGGGCTAGTTATGTGTATTTTTATAACACACATTAAAATGAATTTATCACCATAAAAATGAAAAGTGTTCATCCATATACCATGTAAAATGGCCTCACATACCAGCAGTGGGTTCTGGCACTCTCTCTGGGAATTGGCTCTACACCTGCTCCGGTTTCACCAGATCCTAATGTTATTCATGGCTCTCATTTATTATGGTATTAAATTTTCAAGTGGTTTCCCAGCACAATTACATCCAGCCTCCCCAGCATGGCCTCAGGGTCCTTCTGGCTCCTGCTTTCCTCATCTCCTGCCACTCTGGTCCCGCTGCTCTTGAGCAAAGTCTTGCTGTGCTGGCTACCCAGCCAGCAGGTGCCAGGATTTGAACCCAGGCGGTGGGCCTTAGAGCCCGCACGCGGAACCAGGACACTGTACCACCTTTCTGTGGTGTCTGCTCTCAGCAAGGCCTGTGATGGAAAATAAACAGGCTTGAAAGTGAGGTAGGGAAGGGATCGGCGGCGGCACCACCCAGGAACCCCAAGCTTGTAGATCCCTTGGTCTCAGAGGCAACACACAGAGAAAGGTTTGATCAGGTCTACCAGCCATGTGATAGCACAATTCCTGCCCAGAGGGAGGAGCGTAGAGACCTTTTATAACCTCTCCTGGGGCAGAAATGATGAGCAGCCGTAGTGGCCAATCCCAACTCTCTGACTTGCTGCAAAGATGGGACTTCATGGCAGGTCTGCGGTGTTCTCTGGCCGAAGCTGTAGGTTGCAAGTGAATTCGCATCTGGACAGAGCAGACTTTTTGCAGGGATTTCCCAAGTGCCTCATATTCCCTTCCTTTACTGCAATATGGATGATTTATCACCTGAGAAGGGAGTAGAAATCCCAGTGCAGCTTGATAATAGTCATGCGTTATTAATTCCAACTTTTCCCAAGAGTGAGGGGGACACATCCCTGATTGCATGTGAGCCTCAGGGGGCCTGGAGGCCCACAAAAAGAGGCTTTCCCAGATTGCTGTGAGGCAGTAAGGAGCCAGCTGTGAGGAAAGCCTAGCCCAGGGCCTGACACATGACTGATAGATTTGCTCAGTAATTATTCTTCTACCCTGCTTCGGATTTAGCTCAGGGACAGCACGCTTCTCTCTGCGGCTGGGAGTAGAGTGGAGAGGACACCAGCTCTTCGGGACCACCTCCCGAACCAGACAGCCTCCATTCAAATCCCAGTCACTCCACACACCAGCTGTGTGACCTCGGACAAATCACTTCCCCTCTCTGGGCCCTGGCTTTTTCATCTGTAAAACAGGGCTAATGATAGGATTGAGGTGAGGATTACAATAATTTGCCCAGGATCAGGCTTAGAACATGTAGGAGATGCTACACCAGAGCTACGCGTGCAGCCAGGCGCACCTGAGTTTGCATCCTGCCACCAGCACTAACGACTGTATGATTTGGGGCGATTGCCTTGACTTCTCTGGACCTCTATCTCTCTCTCTGGAAATGGGTTTGGTGGCGCTGCTTCCAGGAGTGATGGGAGCGTCCAGTAAGCAGGGCGTGTGAGTGTGCTCACCTACTAGACGGTAGGTCCTGAGGTGCAAGGACCTGCCTCCCCAGGACAGCCCCTCCCGGAGGGCGGTGGCAGAGGGCCAGCCGTGGGGCTGGAGGCAGGCTGTGGCCCTTCCCCGCTGCCCCGCCCCAGTGGTGACGACCGGGCCCCTGCCTGTCTGAGGGGCAGGAAGGAAGTGAGGAGGGCAGCCGGCAGCTTCCCCTTTTCTGCCCTGCTCCAGGCGCTGGGCTCTCCCCCTCAGTGCCTAGGAGCAGGGACGGTGGCACCATGGCCCCCCGCACGGCTGCCGTCCGCCAGACCTGCTGCTGCTTTAACGTCCGCATTGCCACCACCGCCCTGGCCATCTACCATGTGGTGAGTGTGCGGGCAGGTGCGGGAGGCTGGGTGCATGCGTGCGTAAGAGCAGAGCCCCGATCTGCTGTCCCCCGCCTCCACCCCCGCAGTGGGAGGCCCGCCACCCTCCGCCTCTCCGTGGGACCCTGGACAGATCCCCTCCCTGCCCGGGGCCTCAGTCTCCCCCTCGGTCAGGCTGGGAAGGGGGCCCTGCGGCCGCTGCTGCAGTGGGAGCAGGGCTGGGAGAAGGGTCCTCCTTTCCAGCCAACGGAACTCACCGTCTTCCCGAGGCTCAGTTTCGGCCTCTGTAAAATGGGGCAAAATGAGCAGCTACAAGGTTCGAATGGATCAGCAGCCGGGAATGTGCCGTGGAAGCCAGGAAGCTCTGGAGAGGTGTGGGCTGGGATTGTGGCCCGGGCGTGGAGTCAGGCCCTGCCCGGCGCAGGCGCTTCTTTCCATGGGGGACCTGGGCCGGGAGGAAGGTGGGAATCTCTCCCTTGTGCTCCTAGCAGGGAGGGACGGGCCAAATCCTCTGGGTTGACAGCTCGGCAGACCACTGCCTTCCCTCCACCAGAGAGGACTTGAGGTCTTGTGTCCAGGGGGAGGGTGGCTTGCCTGGTCCCACTCGGGGGCGGCCACCCGAGGAGAAGTGGCCTGGTGGTGGCTCCCCTTGGGAAGCTGGTGTTTACGGCCCCGGTGAGGAGCCCCTGTCTTCTTTTAATGCACAGTGACTCTGGCTGAGCCACAGCCCCCTGGGGCCAGAGGCTCCCTGCTCTGTTTCGGTGGGTAAGAGTCAGGGTCTCTGTTCAGTCCTGCCCAGACCCTCCACCACCACCACACAACTCCCAGCCACACCGGCTGCCCTAGACCCAGACGCCTTCCTCCTACGGTGACTCAGGGTCTGTGGTTAACAGTTCTCTCATGAGCCTAGAAGGGCTTCCTCAAAATTAGCCTAAATCTGGCATTCTGTGGTGGGCTGCTGTACACTGCTTCGGCCTGGCTGCATCTGCTTCCTGTCTCTGGGGGCCAGGCAGGCAGGCCTGAGGCCTTCAGAGGGGCGGTGTCGCTCAGTGGTGAGTGCACAGCCTTGGGATGCACTCCTGCATGCAAATCCTGGCCTCACCGCTTCCTAGCTGTGCAGCCTTGGGCCACTGACTTCACCTCTCTGAAACCCGGTTTCCTCACGGAGCAGAAGAGTACCTCTCTGATAGGGTTGTTGAGCTCCTATCTACAAGGCACAGAGGCAGCCCCTGACGCAGAGGAAATGTTTGTCACCAGTGTGCGTCAGACCCAGTGCTGGCTGCTGTGCCCCCCCCAACCTCCCGGAGTCAAGCTGTCAGACCCCAGAGTGCTGGTTTGGGGAGTTGTTCAGAGGTTGCCTCACCTACCTCCTGCCAGCATGAGAGGGATCCTGAGAGATGTGAATGGCACCTTGGCTGTCCCCACACTGAACCCGTAGGGCCCCTTCAAGCTCTGAGATTGTAGAATAGTCTCTGAAGGACAGTGAGGTACGCAGAGGGGTCCCTGTGGGAAGCGGGCCCCTGGGCCCTTACCCCAGCTCTGCCACTACCTGGCCCTGTGCCCCAGGATGACTTTCTCTTTTGGGTTTCAGTTTACCCTTTATAAAAATGACAGGTGGAGATGTGGACTGGCTCAGAGGTTTCTTTTTTTTTTTTTTTAAGATTTTATTTATTTATTCACGAGACACACACACACACACAGAGAGAGAGAGAGAGAGAAGCAGAGACACAGGCAGAGGTACACGCAGGCTCCTTGCAGGGATCCCGATGCTGGACTCGATCCCAGGACCCAGGAATCATGACTTGAGCCAAAGGCAGACGTGCAACCACTGAGCCACCCAGGCGCCCTGGCTCAGAGGTTTCAAATGCCAACCTGTTTCCAGGCCAGATGGGTCACGCAAGTGAGTGGAGAGGGGCAGAGGGACCTGCGCTGACCTGGGGGGCCCTGTCCTGGCTCTGTTCTGGCAGCTGGTCTCTGCTTCCGCTGATTATTGCCACAAAGGAATGTGGGTCTGAGCTGTTCTTCTGACATTTAGAGAGGCAGGAAACACAGGCTTTTATGTCATGTTTTCTGATGTTTCCATGTCGGTGAATGATTCAAGGTGAAAAAGAAATCCCTGTGCTGGCCAGGCCAGGTCCACAGGCAGGCTGTGGGGGCCTGGAGGCTGTCCAGCAAACCCCAAACTTTGTGACTCTTGAGGCTTCTTCTTGACCGCACTGTCTGAGGTCCTCACCTGTGCATGGTAAAGCAACATCAGTGCTTGCCCACAGAGCTGGAGGAAAAGTGTGGGCAAGTGATCAGGGCAGCCTTTTGGAGTTCGTACCATTGGTGGAGGAGTAGAGTTTGGTTGTATGGATGGGGAGGAACAGGTGCGCAAAGTGTAGAGGCTGAGGGACGGTGGCTTGTGTAGGGGACACTACACAGGCCAACCGGGATGCTTCAGCTTGGGGTGCAGGATGTGGAAGGATCTCAGAGTAACAAGCTGAAGAGTCTGGACCATCACTGTAGTGCACTCTTGATATCTGGGACTGGAAAACTCTTTGTCATGTGGACTGAACTGCACATTGTAGGATGTTTAGCAGCATCGTTGGCCTCTAACAAGGTGTTCATAGCTTCCCCGGGTTGTGATAGCCAAAACTACCTCCAGACGTTGCCAAGGGTCCCCTGGAGACAAAATCATTCCCAGTTGAGAGCCACTGTCAGTAATGTGAACCATGGGGAACCATGGGATGTTCTAGAGCGGAAGGCATGGGAACAGAGGAGCCTGGAAACCATTAAGACCAGCCCAGGCAGTCTTCTTTGAGGTCCTTGGTTGGTTCCAAGGGGGAATCAGCCTCTGGAGAAGCCTTTGCTCCTTCCCAGAAAGGGCAGGTGCCAGGGGGTTTCCCACAACCCAGCAGTCAGGAGGCAGGTGTGCTGTCAGGGGCTCTAACATCTGGATGGAAAAAGAGAAGCTGTTGTCCAGATGTGTTGATGGCCAGATTGTCATCATCTGGAGCCAGCCATGGATGACAGCTGCATACTGAGAGCTATTCGTGGACTTGGTGTCTCTGGGGAGGATTAAATTGGGTCTTTGGTGTCCAAAGACAGTGCTACACTTTATTGGTCATCGGGGACATTCTTATGGGAGGACCCTCCCATGTCCAAGGGCCAGAGGGCCTTCCTCAGGGTTCTGCGGGGCTTGTGTAGAGGGTTTGCTTGCTCAGTCATGGGTGATTTCTGACTCAAACTTGCATGTGTAGGAGGGTCAAATAGCTTTCTTAATTTGGCCTCTTTGGCTCTGGCTTGTCTGGGAACCCAAAGCACGTCCTAAGTCAATGGCAGGAGGTGGGGAGCCCCAGAAGAGCCTTTTGCCCAGAAATCTCTTTCTCCGCCATCTCCTCTCCAGGGTGCCTAGAATTGCATTAGAAATGCATCGTCCAGTGGCACCTGGGTGACTCAGATGGTTGGGCCTCTGCCTTCAGCTCAGGTCATGATCTCAGGGTCCTGAAATGGAGCCCCACGTCCGGTTCCTCACTCAGTGAGGAGTGAGTGAGGAGTGAGTGAGGAGTGAGTGCTTCTCCCTCTGCTTCTCCCCCTGCTCATGTATCTCTCTGTCTCAATTGAATAAACAAAATCTTTAAAAAAAAAGAAATGCATTAATGTTGAAAAGCTTATACCCACTTTAGGGCAAGGAGGGAAGGAGGCTAATGTTAGCTGTTTCTGGGTTCTAGGGTTGTGAAAGCTCTAATTTTTTTCTGCCCTGCTATATTCTCTGTATTTGGTACCATGAGCATATACTACTTTTTTTTAAAAGAAATTTTTATTTATTTATTTGTTTGTTTTATTCTTTAATTTTTTAGAGCCCCTGCAGGGGGAGGGTCAGAGGGAGAGGGAGAGAGAATCTCAAACTGACTCTGCCCTGAGATCACGACCTGAGCTGAAACCAAGAGTTGATCACTCAACCGACTGAGCCACCCAGGCGCTCCGAGCATGTACTACTTTTTAAAGTAAACTTAATTTTAGAATGGTTTTGGATTTACAGAATTATTGTGAAAACATAGTACAGAGTTCCTGTATGCTCCTCATCTGGTTTCCCCCGGATTGGGAGTCGATGAGTCACAATCGATGAATCCACATCAATAGCCTGACTCAAGCCCATGCTTTACTCAGACTTTCTCAGCTTTTCCCTAAACATCTTCCTCTGTCTCAAGATCCTATCCAGGATACCACGTTGCATTTAGTCCTCATGCTTCCTTAGGTTCCTCTTGGCTGGGACAGTTTCTCAGATTTCCCCTGTTTGGGGTGACCTTGGCAGTTTTGAGGAGTACTGGTCATACATTTTGTCAAATATTCATCAAATGGGGCTTATCTGGTGACTTTCTCTTGGATGGGCTTGGGTGAAGTGTTATTGGGAGGAGACTGCAGAGGTAAAGCGCCATCCTCAGCACATCATATCAAAGGTGTGGACTCCCCGACATGTCTTGTCACTGTTGATGGTAACCTTGATCACCTGGTGAAGGTCTCCCCAATGCCTCCCCACCCCCATACTGTCCTTTCTGGAAGAAGGTCATTTAAGGAGTAGAGAGCTATTTCTTGAGGGCAGACAAGCTATAACATATTTGGGATATTTGGAATTTCTCATGGGAGATTTGTCTGTTCTCATTTGTTATAAAACTAAATGATCTAAATGATTTATTTATACCAGTAGAAACTCATGGATATTTATTTCATACTTTGGGTTCTAATTCAATGCTACTTTCTTTATTTGGTTATTCTAGTATGCTACTTTTTTTTTTAAGATTTTATTTATTCATTCATGATAGTCACACACACACAGAGAGAGAGAGAGGCAGAAACACAGGCAGAGGGAGAAGCAGGCTCCATGCAGGGAGCCTGACGTGGGACTCGAACCCGGGTCTCCAGGATCACACCCTGGGCTGAAGGTAGCGCTAAACCGCTGAGCCACCCGGGGTGCCCAGTATGCTACTTTTTAAATTGGCAAAACCACAACAAAAAAG